CGCCACCCCCCCCCCCCCCCCCCAACAAAATGCATGTTAACTCCATTGTACATGCTTCCAGGAAAACAAAGTGATTAAAATGGGGTTATGGATGCATGTTACCTCTATGCATTCCTCCAAGGTTGGAAAATACAGAGGCTAGAGGGAGAGAAAAAAAATGCATGTTTTCTCCACCTATGCTTCCGCAACAGCGGGGGGGGAAAAAGGGGGAAAACACTAGACTACTGAAGGAGTGCTTTCCACTCCTATCTTGGAGGCATTGTGTTATTGACATAACAATTTGAAAAACACATGCATTAGGCTAAGGCAAGCACCAACGTCTTGTAAAATGCATTTGATAAATATTAAAAGAAAATATTTCTTCTGGTGCCATAGAGCAAATCTATTTACTTGTAGTATACAATATAAAGTAAAAGGAACCTTTACAACAGTAAAATATCAACATCAGTGTACTCAGACAACAATACGATGTTAACTAATGTCCGATGGTAAAGTAATCAGATATTCTCTGGATCAACACATTTTTTTTTTTACACTTATAAAATGTTACAATTCTAAACCACAATTATTGTATTGGGTCCTAATTAGTCATTTATGTCATACCCTGTCAAATTGCTTTCCATGCCCCCTGGATTCTTAGGAGGGTTTGTAGAGATGTAAAGATAAATGTATCAAGTGTGAGATTTAGCTTCAAATATTAGCGCATTAAGGATGTAGTCCACTCACAAACATGTTCTTTTTAGGGCTTCCTGCCCTTCACAGAAGTTTTCCCTCACAGGGTTTCTCCAATCATAACTTCAGCAAAATAATGTCTTTCCAAGTCTCACCGACTTCAGGTTATCACTTAAAACCTCTCCCACACAGGCTGTATCCAGCTGACGTGCCTCACAGGCTGTATCCAGGATGGAGTCCTCCTGACTTCTGGACAGACACCTCCCTTGTCTGCCAGCTGGTACCCTGAACCAGCATCCTTTTCATAAGGGATGTGCACAGGTGCACCATCGTTCGGTGATGGTCACCAATAAAGCCCGGACCCACGAATGGAGATTTCATCCTTCCCAGTTCACTTCGAAATCTCCCGGTTCCAGGATCCCAATGATAATTTAGAAAACCCAGAAATAATTGTGAAGCCAGCTGTTTCCTGGTAAAAGTACTTTTGTCCTGGAACTGCTCAGCCCCTCTGGCAAAATGGTCACCCAGAACTCTCAGCCAGTCTACATAGTGGCATTGCCACGCACTGCCACACAAGTTTTTTTTTAAAAATTGACATTTGTGTCAAGCATATTTTTAGCAAAAAACCCAAACCTTAAATGTTAAAATCTGGGTACTTCTGTTAAAAAAAATATTTGTGCATTCTTTGTAGTCTTTCAGCAACAACCTGCTTACAAAAGGCTAAATGCAGCTTTAGTATTTTATGTTCTGAAATTATAAAAAGGTGACAGCCAAGCTGTCCTCTTCTAATCTAAGAATGTAACAAAACTGCAAGCACCTCACACCAGTGTGTTCATATGATTCCTAATCAGAGGCCTAACATTTGGTGCACTTATGCATTATTTATGTTATGTCTTGCCAGAACCTGTATCGCTCTCATCATTGCTTAAGTTCCTGCTTGTTTAGGTCAAAGCTTTAAGAGGACTTTCATGTCATTTCCAGTGAGTGCTCCCTCTTTGTTCTGTTCTGACCTATTTCATTCCATATGTCATTGACATTTTACCTTCTGCGTTTCACTGTAGATACAGATGTGTCGTCTTGTCACAAGACAGTATATAAACTTTCAAATTATCTCACTCAGTAAAGTATATGATATTAATTCATTACTCACTAAAGTATATGAAGTATACACCAACATACTTTTTATGGGCTTCATATCACTCTGTTTGTCCTGTAAGTGTTTGTGTTTCTGCACTGTCCAGGATTTCAAAATCAATTCTAATATAGGTCTTCTATACAGCTATAATGACCCAATATTTTAGTAGCCTAAATGGATTGATGTAGAATAGTGAAAAATGAAGGAAGTACAAGTGATGGTGACTATTCTGTTCTGCTACACAGAAGGTAATGAAACAGAGAGTAACTCTATAGTTATAGTTGAATAATCTTTGTAAAATAGATCATGTAAACCTGAGTGGCCAATCATTTTTACAAAGCTTCAGAAATTCTGGAAGGCAGCACTTGCTGAGACACAACGGTGGCCTGCACGTTATCCCTGTTTTTGGGGAGGCATCTAATCCTCTAGATATTGGATGTTGCCCCACATATGTGATAAACAAACAGGCCACTGTGATTGATATTTGGAAAAGGAATATGTAAGGGCACATACATGATGACATCACCCTGCACCACACGTTTACATTAGTCACTGCTAGTCCTGTAAGGTATGTTTCTAGTTATGCCCTCTGATAAAGTAGAACTCCATCTTTCTAACAAGTATGATATTGTAAGGAAAAGTAACATCAACTTTTTAAAAAGCTTTTTTCTTACACATTTCAAGCCTAAAGTATTCTTCGCATCCAGTAAGAAATGCTTATATTTAACCGTGTTATCTGTCTGCAACTTTTCCTTAAACACAAAAAAGTTACCATTTTGCATTCGGTGGAATTTAATTTCAATAACCTACACACGTATAATGCATTCTGTCTGGTTATCAGATGTTGATCTGTCTATAGAGATGTACAGATAATATATTTAGCGAAAATAACTTCTAAATTGGGTTGTTTTGCTGAAATGCCATTTACAGTATTACATTATCAGAAACATAAACATAGCTTTTTATACAAATAATTCTAGGTTGTTAGCCAGAATGCTTGCTGATACCTATCTCTCTAGAATTTTTCACTGCTGTGCTATGTGTGCCGATAAGTAAATCTTATCTTAATTATAATTACATTGACACCTAACACATTTCTCTTTATTTTCTCCTCAGGCAGCCCACTCAGCGTTTTCTGTAGAGCTTTCTTTGGATTTAGTGGAGAATCAGGCCCCATGATCTATTGGATGAGGGGAGAGAAGTTTATCGAAGAACTGGAGAATCACATAAAAGAAGGTGTAATAAGGTACTTAAGTTAAAAATGTTACCAATAAAATGCTAATTTGTACTAAGGTCTATCTATAGCACTAAGACACAGAGGTGGATTTACCAATGATTCCCAGTGAATAAGCAGTATTCATCCAAATGAGATTAATTTGGATTCACCCTATTTTCAACAGGATGAACATGCATCAGGTGAATGTAGATGCATTCACCTATCAGAGTGAACAGCAAAAAAGTTTTCTTTTATCAAGACTAGGACCAGCAAAATATTGGACGCAAGAAAACCTTTTTTTTTAATCTTCCCTTTACTGGTTTATCCATTGATTATTTCACTGCAATGCCTCTGTGCTGATCACATTTCTTAAATATTTTGTAACTGCAATACACCCTAGGAGCTAGGAATGTGCAACTGTGTGTTCTAGTCTTGGTCTGCAGACTCAGCAGGAAAATATTCAGACATTCTCAGGTGGTTGCTGCTGATCTGGCACAAATGCCATCCCAATTCACCTGCATCTGTCTCACCCTCTGGAAGACTTCAGGAATGCTGTCCCTCACTTCCTGTGATATGTGGGCAACTGACATCACTTTCTGGTGCCGCCTGGAAATACCCCTACATGATGGCACACCAAAAGTGCATCACAAATGGCCTCCAATCACTAGCTGCAAAAAGGAAATGTACAAATAAGAAAAAAACTAAAATGTCTCTTTATAGTGTATGTAAAGCCAACATGTTTTTCTAGTTTTGAATAGTGAAATAAACCCTGTCAGGTTTTTAATGCTGTCTGTGTTCCCCGGTGGATAGAATACCTCTTTCTATTTGTCCTGGACATCACTGTTAATCGAACCAAAATTCTTTTTGATACCAAAACGAGAGGTAAGATAAAAATCTTACATTAAGGACCCAGGTTTTGCTGTCTTTTGTTTATTAACTCACTAAATATTCACTTACCTCAAAAGGGGCCTTCTAATTATTAACCCACTTCAGTTCATCTCTCCCCAGTGATGCATTTCCTTTAGCCCACTTCTTCACCTTGTTAAGTGAAGTAGCAGAGTAGCAGTGATGTCAGCAGCACAATGGCGATAATACTACATGTCCTATGTCAATGCATTGGACATGGTAATTGCTAGGATTTCACTTTATTATTTCTCAGCTGATTACGCATATGCATATTTTGGTTTCCCACCCAGTGTTTTTGCCATTTGTCTACCACCATACGTTTTAGAAGCGCAAGTGGTGAATGTTTCCTTCTGCTATGCCGGCATCAGACTGCTCAGATCAGAAGCACAGTGTACAGAGCCAATCCAAGCAGCTCTGTACTCTGTGATTACTCTGATGACTATACATGTGCACTGGCAAAAAATTAGTTTCGTTTCGATTCGGATTTTGTGTTATTTAATTTTTCGGAATTCAAATTCGGACGAAATTTTGTTAGTGATAGTTCATTCAAACTTTTGTTTCATTTTCGTTTCGTTCATTCAGTCTGTTGCAGCAAAATGACATTTGAGGAAAAAAAAGTTTTTCTCCTTCTCTAATGTCACTTTGCTGCAACGAACGAAGGTACGAAACGAAAACGAACGAACGCTAACGAATTTCGGAAATTTGGGTTTGTTTGCATTCGTTATATCTGTAATTCGGAATTCGGATACATCCGAATGTCCGAATTTCCGAAAATTCGTCCGAATTGCGTTTCGGAACGAAACGAATCGCACATGTCTACTGATGACCATTCAGTGATCACAGATGTAAACAGTGTGGTGTTTATATCTTAAAGCCCTCCCCTTCACCTTACAATACTGAAAGGAGAGGAAGGAAGGACTAATGAATTAATCATTTATTCATTCACTTGATTTGATTGTGGGATCATTTAGTTCCTGCAGTTAACCCTTTTACCACCCTCCTCTCTTGTACATGACCTGTATATTAATCCTTTTACCTCTCTTATCCTGTACAATTGCACATTAACTCCATCATCTCTGTTCTTCAACTGTATGTTACCTGTACATTAACCTCGCTATCTTTGTGTGACCTGTACATTTAATGATATGCTGTATCTAATGCACCATTACTAAATTATAAAATTAATTTGGGTACAGTGTTGAATGGCCGCATAATTGTCAAACTATCACAGCACCGAAAACTAAAAATGGTCTGGTAATATAGGGGTATTACAGGCTGGTACTCAAGTGAGTAAAGTTGCCATATTGTTTTTTTAGGTAGCTAAGCAGCATCTTTTCTGTCACCTCTGACACCAAAAAAGAAAATGGAATTTATATACTCACAAAACTTACAACCTGCTCTCAAAAAGTGTTGGAAAAGTGTAGCATCAAGGCTGCTGATAATTCAGTTGCATCTGTACATTTAATAGTCACTCAGGGAGAAGCAATACTAATCTTTTCTGCAGTATTGCGCTACTTGGTACACATAACCTTGTGGAAAAAAAGATGCAAAAAAGTGGTTTAGCAGCCACACTTAAAGAACTATTAGATCAGCTTGCGTGCAAACATATTAAAAGCTTCAAATATTACAGTGTATGCACATGCACCAGCAACCAAGGAGTGACTCCTCTCCACTCTCTTGATTCAGGTTATTAAGAGAGCACCTTGGAGAAAAAGAGGTAGAACTGGCACTGACATTTGATGCTGTACAAGAAGCAGATCTGGGTAATTACACCTGCCACGTAGAAAATCGAAATGGCCGCAGACATGCCAGCATCATCCTGAGGAAGAAAGGTAAATTCATGAAATGCATGCTGGCTTCTGTTAGAAAAATTTCCACATACTATGCAATTAGTCAGTTATTAATTTATTTATAAAGGTAAAGAGCAGAGTATACCATGTAGAAAACACATAGATGGAAGCAACATCAAGCCAAAAACTGTTTTTTGCTTTGAGATCTTTTTTTTTATGGTTAACCAATCTGTATGTTATTGGTAAGTTACATAAACTCTTCAGTCTCATTCTCTCCATATAAAATTAAGTGAAATAAACTTTTACAGGGATAAATTATATGGTTAAAAATTAACAACTTTGGGATAATGTAAGCAACCTTCCTATATAGTTGTTTACCCGGTGTTGGTAAAACCCATTCTGGGTCTCGTTTTACTAGGAGTCTGATAGGAGTCTGTCCCACCCAGAGCTCTAAGTTGGTGGACCATAATTTGGTGGTGGCTGTACAGGTCCTCAATAGTGTGCAGCTGGACCTAGTGAGGGTGTGTCCCAGTGGAAGTAGAGACAGTGTGCTGAATGCAGCAAGCGTTTTGTTTTTGGAACCAAGCCTGTCAACAGGGCAGGAATCAGTGGATGAACTGTAACTGTTCACAAAAAGGAAACGGACCCAGCCCAAAGGATGATCACAAGTCATAAAACAAAATAAAGTTCTGTTCCACTGAGCCTTACTATCTCTTTTTGGCTGGATGCCTTCAACCTTTATGTTTAGTGCTGTCCAGAATAAAAGCTGCCCATTTTTGCTGGAGACTCCGAGTTTGCCTCTGCCTAGTTCTCTAAATATACAATATATACACACAGTATATATGCAGAGTCAGATCTAAGGCACTGTTGCCTCTTGACTGCTAGAGTGAGATTTAGTCACTGCTGGGTTGTCGACAGTTTTCCTCGCTGAAATCACTGACATGAGGAAGCAAAACCCTGCTTCTAAAAATGGCTGCCTTTCAAACAGAGACACAGTCAGTTATGGGGAAATATCAGGTGCAGGTAGACTGGAAACTGTGGCTGAAAGAAAAACACAGGTAAATGACTTGTCACAAGTATTGTAGAGTTCAGTTCCTCTTTAAATGTTGTTGCTATGGTTTACTACACTTTTTATGTCATCACTGCTTTTTACATTTACTTTTTTTATAATCGAAAGTGTGTTTTTGTTTTCAAATATAGTTCAAAATTTCTATAGCTGCTGCACAGATTAAAAAAGACTATTGTACTGAACAGTTTAATGATATAGTTCAGGCATGGTATTATAATATTCTGTGAAGGGATTTGGAAAATACAACAAATACATGTTTGATTAACAGACATGGCAAGGGCTTGGTAAAGAGGATAATTGCAGGGGGAGTACGAGAGTGATGTCAACACCATAGTACAGAGTAATCAAGAAGGGGCCACTCTGCTGGCACCCCCATGTCTGGCAAAGGTACCCATAGCATCACCTTAGGGTGCAGTGGGGAGGTTGAAATTTCCACGGACAACCATTGCTTATGTGGTGCAGTATGGAACCAGTCCAAGACTCTAGTCAATAACGAAGCTTTATAATAGAGAAGGAAATCAGGCAGACCGGCTCCCCCTCGAGACCTAGGCGATAGTTAAGTCTGGGCTTGGCATCCTTCCAAACAAACGTTCGGAAGATATGCCTCAGCTTAAGAGAGAAAGAACAGGGTATACGTATGGGGACCGTTTGAAAAAGGTACACAAATTTAGGTAGGACATCCATCTTAAGCACATCCATGCATCCGAACCACGAGAGAGGTCGAGATCTCCATGCTTGAAGGTCTGCCCCCGTCATGTTCAGAAGCGGTAAATAATTAAGCTCATATAAGCAGGACAGGTCAGAGGGTATGTGGACACCAAAATATTTAAGGGAGGAGAGTTGCCAGGAAAAGGGGAAGCAGGAGCGTAGGGAGGAGAGTATAGCAAAAGGGACAGGGGACAACCCTGATGGGTACCATTAGAAATGCCATTTGCACACACACGGGCATAGGGAGACGAATATAAGGCCATAATTTTGGATATGAACGGGGTGCCAAGCCCTAGTTGTGTCAATGAGGCGCGAAGGAAGTGCCAGCCAACCCTGTCAAACACCTTTTTAGCGTCCAGGGAAAGCAGGCAGATAACGCAGCCCTCAGATAACGCAGACACGCAGGAACCTGTGAAGAGTTAGGCAAGTAAACATTAGCAATCGTATAGATAGAGCCATTTAACAAGATTTTCAGAAAAACATAACACCCAAGGGGGTCTATAGAGGAATCAAGTGCTTGGAGCTTACTGGATCCCAATGGAGACGACCTTAGACTTAGTAGAAGGGTTGGTGCTGTCGAACCATTCTCTATAGTAGCATTGCAAGCAGGCTGGATGGTTCCCAGCGCAAAAGTGCGTCTCCTGAAGGAGCACAATATCAATCTTTTGCTTGTGCATGTGATAGAGAACCTGAGATCTCTTGGAGGGGTGATTAAACCCTTTCACATTAAAAGAACTTATTGACAGGGCCATGGCAGAACATAAAAGGTAGCATAATAGGGATAGTAATGCGGTGGGCTGACTCCAGTCACTTCCCCAAGGATACAGATAATGGACAACACAGTAGACCGATAAACAAAACAGGGGCGACAAGAAACATAAAGGGGAAGAACCAATACATGTATAAAGGGGGCTCACAAGGGGAGCCAAAATGGGACGGTACCACAGAACCATACCCTCCGGGCAGGCTCCAGGTAGGGAACCCAAACAGCTAAATCCAGCCATATGGCCAAACACCTACAGTAACGTGGGTGACCTAGTGTGGGGGCGGGGGGGCCCAAACGGAGCAAAAAGGGTAGAGATCTGCTCGTGGGCAGTACCCCACCCCCAGCCTAGTGTTAGTAAACAATTATGCAAACAAAGTAAATGATGGGGAAAAAAAGCATTGTACCGTGAATAATGCAAATCCAAGAAGGCACTTCAAAATGGAGGCAAAAAAGCCTAAACGTAAAGGTTAGAGTGAACGCAATCAGAAACTGCAAGTAGACACTCCTGGGTCAAAGCGCGTGGGTGGGATATGGTCCCAAAACAGGGAAAATGCAACAAAAACACTGTTCCCAAACAATAAGGAGTAACTTGCTAGGAGTCAGGAGCCTTGGGCACCCTGGTAGGAAAGCCTTCTGATGAGAGAGAAGCAAGTCACTTCACCGAGGTAGTGGAAGCAGCAGACCTGCAAAGAGATTTCGTCTGTCAATGTTTACGAATCGACACATCAGGGAAGCTCGTGGTATAGGGTCAATCCAGTAGGGCGACTTGGGCCAGCTGGAAGAAGCCAAGGAACCGTGGAAGGTCGCCCAGGTGGCGGAAATTTGAGGATTTTCCATCGCGGGATGTGATTAGGTGGAATAGGTATCCCCAGTGGTAAGTGATGTTGTTGGCGCGAAGGACATCCAAAAGGGGCTTGAGGGCCCTACGCATCTGGAGAGTACGGCGAGAGGTCTGCCAGTAGGAGGATCGGGGAGCCATTGAACTGGATCTTGTCAGAGGCTCGAGCAGCCGACATCACCGCTTCCTTCACAGCATAGAAGTGCACCCTGCAAATAACATCTGTCGGGCGGTTAAGGGTAGCAGACCGTGGACCTAGGGCGCGGTGGGCACGGTCTATCTCCAGAGGTGAATCAATAGGCTTCTGCAGGAGCTGATTGAAGACAGAGCGAACAATGTCAGCAAGAGCCGACGGCTCCACCGATTCAGGAATCCCTCTCAGGCGTATGTTGTTACGCCGGGATCTGTTTTCCTGGTCTTCTACCTGGTAAATCAGGTTGTGCAATTGGACCAAGTGGTCCTGGAGCACCTTGTGATGCAGGTCTAATCTGGAAGGCATCTCCTCGTTAGTGGATTCCAAGTCCACCAAACGTGAGCCGATGTGGGCCATATCAGCCTTGAGTCCCACCATCTCGGCTTTGTAAGCGACCTCCATCCATCCGGGACACGTAGCTCTCTAAGTCAGCACGAGTGGGCAGGGAGCGGATATAGGCCTTCAGGTCCCCGTCACCCTCTTCCCAGTCAAAATCCGTAGGATTGATGGTTCCTCCGACACCGAGGCCATCGATCGGGAGAGTGGAGGGTCTACCCAGGGGGAGGGCACGCCAGCCCGAGTACTTGCCCTTTCAGCAGAGGAGTTCACACATGGCGAGGTCCGGGCCTCGTAGGCCCGACACAGCCGGCGGGACCGCGGTTGTACGCGGCGACTTCTGCGAGGCCTGAAAGAAGGTGGAGAGTTTCCCCGACTGGTGTCCACCTGTGCCCGAAGGAGTCTTGGGGTGTCTTTTAGTACCCATCAGGCGGTTTGGTCGCTAATGGAGCTGTAGAAAGGCTGTAAGGGGCACCATGCACTGGAGCAGAGGGAAGATGCGACTCACTCCGCCATGCGCCAGCCACTCCCTCCCCAGGAAAGCTCTTTTATGCTGAGCTAATCAAAATGACCACAGCTGATCACAGTTGAAAGTCAAATGGCTTTGTGTGCCATTGGGAAGGTGATTAGCTACTCCTAATTGAGTTTACAAGTCATTTTTAGGAAGGGTTGATCCTTTTTCCAACTCAGTGATTTTGTTTTTTAAATTTGTTTATTTTTTCTGAGATGTTGGTGTTATATCTTTCAACTTGAATGTTATAATGTGCACTAAGCAAATACAGATGAACAAAACAAAAACTGTATCTGTCTTCATTTCAGGCTGCAAAGCAACAAAATGTGATTATTTTAAATGGGGTTGATTCTTTTCTATACCCATTGTATAGCAGCATGTACACTTTAATGGGCAACCCCATCTGATGTTAATTGTCCCCTACCCATCCCTCCCTTACCACTTTATTCATCTGCCAAGAGTGACAAAAATACTCAGTACTTCCAGGTATTGGCAGCATGTGGCTCACTCTGGTAATTGGCTGTTCTGTCACATGGTGACAAAGAGTTTTCAGCCCCTGTGTAAGCTCCAAGGTCACAGCTTGGGGCTTACATAGGGATTTCTGTATTTACTCCCAGTGGCCAATAGAGTGGCAGTGGAGTGAAAGAAAGCAAATATTTTCAACAGGTGGGTCTGCTATGAAAATTAACCTGTTGCTTCACCCTGCATATACTACAAAGGTTTCCAAATAGCACTACCACAAGCTATTAAAGTATAGCTTGTTTGGTGATGCATAATGGACATTTAGGGGCACATTGCAACTAAATGGATAGGCTTTACAGTGCTGAGAAATGTTGTATGTCCACCTGGTTTTCCCAAGGAGGAAATCATAGCAGTGGCGCACAATGTTGGCTTACTTCAATAAAACTATCTTGTTCCTAAAGCCCAACTCTAGCCCAACTGAGCACAATCTACCCCCAAACACACTGCAAGGAATGCATGCTAATGTTTGCCTAGGAGTAGAGGGATAAGGAGTAATACTTTCCTTACTGCTGGGTACCTCGATCTGTATGGCCAGTCCCACAAAGCTTCTGTTGTAAGGTGCTTCGGACATGGTTGAATGCCTGCATCCTCCACATAAAACAGCAGATGACTCCTAGGGATAGCCCACAGCTCTGAACATCAGTGGGAAGAGTGGAACACTGGAGTGGGGGTAGTATTTGTTAGTATTATTTGTGCATCACTCAGCTGTAATTCTTCAAATCATCTCTGAATTGGTTCTGACACTGTCATTTCTTCTGAAGGGTGGTTACTTTTGTTCCCCATGATCCGTTTGTGTGTTGTAAAGTAGCTACCACTTCAAGCTCACTCCTGTAATGGACTACAATCTCAAAGAGCGAACTTGGAGTTGAGGCTCGCTCTTTGAGATTGTTGTCCATTACGGGAGCAAGCTTGGAGTGGTAGCTACTTTACAACACTTACAGGGACCGTGGGCAACAAAAGTAGCTACCCTCCAGAAGGAAGGACAGTGCCAGCACAAATTCAAAGATGATTTGAGTATCTACAGCAGAGTTATGAACAAATAAGTTACATTTTTAATAGTTAAAGTACATTTTTAAGGTTTAACTCCTGAATTTAGTGTCGCTTTAAAGGTTTCTAAGTAGGGATGTTCAGATACCAGTGCTGATACTTGGCATTTTCACAAGGACTACCAGGGTTTCAGCAGTTGCACCTGCAACTTCGCCCTGGCGCTCCACCACTGTCCTAAAATCATTAATCTGCATTGTTTTGGAAAAACTGTCACATGACACTAAACAAAAATGTATCTTTGAGTACTTTGATAAGTACCAGTACTTGTACTTGATCTGGAAATATGATATCGGTGCATGGCTGCACAAATCCCAGGAGCATCGTAACCAATGCGCCATAAAAATGACAGCTGCCTCCTAACCAGTGAGTTTTCTCTAGTCTAGTCTTGGTACAAGCACTGATACTTTTCCAGCTCCAAGTACGGTACTTGGTATCTGAACATCTCTACTTTTAAGAGAACGTATAACCCAGTATTAAGAAACCAGGTCACATCATAAAAGACTGACTTGATACAATAGAAGAGACGCATGCTGCACAAAATTCGACATATTGTAAAAATCACAGAAGTCCCTCAGTAGTTAATATATTTATAATTAATAAGGTATAGCAATCTCTCTGAACAAACCTGTCATTCTACCAATGCTAATAACCAAATGCTTAAAGCTGATTGGTCGGTGTGTGAAAAGGTTTTACCTTTCCAAGTTTTCTTTAAACCAGTTAGTGCACCATTCATATGTATGCATGTTTAACCTAGTTTAATCTCGCTCATAAGCAAATATGGTATAAAGATACCTGTGTGCACAGACCCAAAAAATAACCTAATTTCATGTTTATGTAGGAGAAATTCCAAAGGATATACAGCCATGCAGATGTGCAGTATGTATACCAAATTATTTAGAGCCATGAACAACATTCAGTTTAAAACAAGCAGGGAAATGTAAAACAAAACTCCATTAATAGTACAGCTACATAGCCAAAATATACTAGGCGTGAGTTAATTAAATTCAATTTATATATAGGTCTGCCCAGAAAGATACCCTGGTGTTCTCACTGTGTTATATAAAAGTCAGAAGATCCTGCACAAAAACAATGCTCCAGCAAATAAAGCTGTCAGAATTCAGGGCACGTCATTTCCAAATGGCTTGTCAGATTAGATGTAATAACACCCTTGTTCTTGATTCAAAACATAATTAGCAGCGGAGGCCGAAAAAAGAAAAGTACATTTACATGTACACCTGGCAAACAGCGACAAGCAAGCAGCTCAGTAAGTATGTCTCTGATCATATTGCCTGCCAAGCAGCAGTGTCTCAGAGAGAGATGCAAATGACTTCTTACACTGTGTATTTGTAAGACGTGTGTTTATATGAGAACTGATTGGTACTTATGTTACATTTAGTATAATACGGTCGGCATAATGTAAATAGCATAATCACTGCATATTAAAATCAGTAGGAACAGATTAACTGTCCCAGTGCCAGGGAGAAATTGGATATTTTATCTGTGAAGACATTTTTTATTTCAAAAACTGTCTGGTTTATACAAGTCCATATTGATGATCACATCACAGCAGCATTTATTTAATTTTAATGTCAGTATTTCAAAAAGAAGCACCGCAGTCATTGATATTAATTGACACCTTTGAGCAGACACAGGTAACAAAGACTTCGGACATGTCATTGTTTCAATGTGCCCAAGGCGCCAACAGAAAGATAATCACATATAAAGTAGATCAATTGAAAAAGAAAATGAATAATAATACATGCATTCAAATAAATAACACTAATAAATTATATACATGAGAGAAACAGTGACACCTGCTGGCTTTTATAACTACATTCAGATAAAGGAAACTTTAAAACTGCTCTTCATACAGACTCAATCTGAGATAATATCCCCGTTTAAACAAGAATTTTGATGTCCATCTAATTCCACTGGTAGATTTTAGATCAAAAAAATAAAACCGTTTAGTGTAAAGATTAGTGTCTTGCTATAAAAGAATTATCCTATAGTTGTATTAGGGGAAGTCCACGGCAAGTAAAACTGCGTTTTTATACAATTTTACTTGATTTATCATTATTTTTTGTAAAGTTTTATACTCGTGTACCTCTACTCTTTATTAATGAACGCTGTGCTTTCCTGAAACCACTTATACATGCTCTGTTTACCTAAAAACTACTATGGCAATTTTCCAACGAAGGTAAAGTAAACAGAGCATGTATAAGTGGTTTCATGAAAGTTTATTTAAAGAGCAGAGGTACACAAGTATAAAGCTATCCGAAATAATAATTAAAGTGCCAGAGTTGAGCTTTAATAACTGGCAGGACCTCTGTCCAGATTAAAGGCACCAGATGCAGACAGGTTTATTACAGTAATTTGGATATGCATTGCTGGCAGGGACACATTTATGACTGAAGATGTCAACGGTGCATGTCCATGCTGCATAATTGTGGCTGCTGGCTGCAATAGGGTACTTGGGCATTACAAGGCCTGCTGCCACTCCCCTATAGGATAAGAGGTGAGAAGAGTATAAAGTTAGTTCTCCCTCTCAATGCCAGGGTGAGCACCACTGCTCTTTCCACCACTGCACTAACACTCATGACCCTGCTTACAGCCACATTTTTGTATTAAGCCTGAACAAACAGGCACCCTTTTGCTAGATATAATTAAACCGATCAGTAAGTATTGAAAAATAACTTCATGTAATCTGTTCATAGCTCTATGTCTCGCACCCTACAAGGATAGCATTATATCTGACTGGTTGTGCCATAACGGTAGTCTTTACCTACACGAGTAGGAGGCATAAAGTATGGATCCAAAATGATTAGACTATCTATAAATTACATTTAATATTATGGTTATCTTTCTTTTTCACTTAAGAAATTATGGGAGAGATGACTGGTAAAGACATTAGCACAATTGTGAATTTGCTTCAATTGATGATTTTAATTTTTTTTTCTTTTTTTTTTTAGAGTTAAGGTACAACATGGAGCTTGCTGGAGGTCTGTGTGCAATTTTTATTGTATTCATTTTGCTGATCATAATCTATAAATGCTACAATGTGGAATTAATGCTCTTCTACAGACAGAACTTTGGAAGTGATGAAGCTGCAGAAGGTAAGCCATTTTTTAAATATTTTAACTGTTTTAATGGTTGAGACATTGAAAGCATGCACTTTTTTAATGGTGGTTTGGTTTTACTCAAAAAAGCATTTTGAAAATATCAATTTATTAGGGGTGCAGTGGTAGGTTAACTTTGGACCAGGGGGCAATGAGAAATGTAGATCCACTGTGACAGAGTGATAAAGGTCATTGACATTTTTTTTTTTTATAAATTATTTATTAGGTCATTGACATTTTTAAGGTTTTGCCAGATACAAATTTTTGGGATAGAAGCATATGTATGAAAAATGTATTCTACTGCATCATTTGGAAAGCATGATTGTACAAGATGGCAGAAGACTGTGGGGGTGATTCAATGAAGCATTTGAGACACTTTTCTGTAGGCTACCCCCACACTGCATGCATTAAGTGCTTGTTTTCATTTAGGGTGGCAAATAAAGTTTTGCTAAACAAACTGCGGCTGCTAAACCACTCTCCTTAGCCTGTCTCTTTCTTTGCTCCCATGATGGAATCTCACTTGGCATCCTCTCTTTACAAGGAGCTGCAGTCACTGGGTATTCTGACTGCAGGGGAGATTCCTCCGTTCATGGTGTTTAGGGTGGATGGAAGAATAGAGGCATATGTATGGCCAGTTGAACAGTCTCTGTGCTAGTCAATATCAATTTTCTTGCATAGCAAAGCTGCTGGGGATCTTGTTACAGCATGCCTCTTCTTTTTTTGCTTTATATGAAACGTTCGGGGAGTTATAATATTTACACTCCAATCTAGACTACTTGATGCTTGTGAATGCAAGTGGTAAAAAACTGCAGAAATAACCATTTTGATTAATTATATGTCAGCAAATGTACTCATAATTTGAAATTAAACTTAAATTGTGTTCAGGTTTATTATGCCAATATTCTAAGATACATAAATCATTTTTCATTCAATTAAAAATTATACAAATAGAAAACAAATCTGAATATTTTGAAGCCCTGTATTTTTTTATCGCAACGATTCAGACTTTTTTTTGTACCTGTTAATAATTATAGCAGCTCCTTATTGGAATAACTTTGTAGACAGTAGGAGGTGCTATTCTATCTTATCTTTTGGCCAGGTCTTTCTTAATTAGTGATACAATTGTTGCAGGTACAGTGCTTTGTGTAAGGTTCACCCCTTAGACTTTTCTACATTCTGTAGTGTCACAACCTGAAATTAAAATGGATTTAAGTTTGGTTTTATGTCATAGTTGGTTTTATGGTATGATCTTCACAAAATTATCTATATGGAAAAAATCTATATGGAAAAAATGCTACATAGTTGTCCTATTGTTTACGCATAACCAAAAAAATCCTAATTGCATAAATATTTACTTTTTTCTGTAAAATTCCTAACATACTTGGGTGCAAACATTCAGAATTCACATAATTAGTTTAATAGCACTCGAGTGTACTTTATTAAAGTGGCATAAGATCTCAAAAAAGATACACCTGTTTCTAGAAAGGCACCAGAACTTTTCAGTTAACATATCTTAAACAGTATAATGAAATTTAACTAAGCTATCAAAAGAAATCCAGGACAGAGTTCTGGAGGAGCACCAATGAGGGTTGGATTATAAAGATAATTAAAACACATAGTGAGTGCCATTAAATACAATAAAAAATTAAACATAAAAAATTAAACATAATACATATCATTTTTTGTGGGGGGTAATTGTATTGGACATTCCTTTCCTGTTCACATGCACACCTGTTTTCTTTTTCTCAGTGTACGAAGAAAACGTAATGCTTCTTGAGCCCTTCCCATCACCTGTGAACTCCTGTATATTACAACCCCTTCCCCAAACTAGTGTTCTGTGGGTTCCAATATGTAAGAAGAAACATAGTTACCTAAAGAACAGAAAACTATAGAAAAAATATAAATTCCTTATGATGAATAAAAACAACTGTGAAATCAGGGAAGTAGGACTAGTGAAGACCCTAGGCGGATATATTACAGCCTTTAGCTTTATGCCACACCCACCCAGTGTGGAAATTTTAGTTGTATATGTAAACCAAATCAGTAAATGTCCTGTTAATCTTAACTTTTAAAAATACTTGATGATCCTGCCATGAAGGTTCTTGTTTAGTTGTTTAGGTACTTTCTGCCAGATGGTGGGAGCATTCTATCCCTGTATTTCAGTTGTGCTACTGTGTATCACACAATGCAGGGTCATCCAAGAATATACGCATGACAAATGCAATTAAAACAACAAGTGACCAATTTGGTTAGTTAGATTAAAAACAGAAAAAAACTTATTTCTAGGTCACATTAAATATATGCAGAGGAAATTACAATAAAGAATGATAACACAAGATAGCTAAGCTGTTTTGTTATTTAAATGTAAATCCCTTGTGCACATTTTTCTATTGACCTGTTTTTTTGTTTTGTTTTTTCTCCCATGTTTTATTTCAAAGACAACAAAGAATATGATGCATATCTCTCATACACCAAAGTGGATCCAGACTCTCTAGATCATGAGAGCAAAGAGGAAGAACAGTTTGCACTAGAGATACTTCCGGATATCCTGGAAAAACAATACGGATACAAACTCTTTGTTCCAGACAGAGATATGATACCCAGTGGCAGTAAGTACAATTTCACGTACTTAGCAGTATGGGGGCAATACATGAATATATCTATATCAACTGTATTCAGTCCTCTGTTGTTTTTCATGTTGATCATGACCTGTGAACAGATCATTAAGTATAATTCAGTAGGGCCAAATTGCTCCTGAGTCTAAGAGTAGGAAACTAAGCATAGAAGGGACTTATTTATTAGCAATTACACACATTATGAGTAATTCAGAATATATGTTTCATCACATCCTTTTTGATTCTCTATTCTGCAGTTTGAATCTCTAGGGGGCTTATTAGTATTACTAAGATTGAATTAAACAGACCACGTTTTATTAGACAGCTAAAAGGGTATTCAATTCAGAACAGATAGACTGTGCAGGTTTGCTACTGGGCAAGAAACCAGGTGAATAGAGCAGATGATCTGAGCTGACTGTGGGAAACGGATGGTGGCTCTTGGCATAGAAACACACCATAAGAGTTGGTAAATATGGAGAACAAAATAAATTGTATTCTCTTTCTCTTCTAACACCCAAACGACACTCAATACCTGAACACCTAATATGTGTACGTAAAGTTATACAGTGCTAAAAGTAAATATTTAAAATGCTGGTCAAAGTACAAATGCATCAAATTAACAGTAAAACAGTTTTCACTAGTTTTAAAAAGTGGCATAGGCAAATAAAATAAGTGTATAGTGTCCACATTTTATATTTAATCATATAATTTGCATCCAATGTATCCCAGCATATTTTATACCTTTTTTATTTAGGTAGTTTTAGCAGTGTATACCTTTAGTGTACGATTAGGTGTTGTTAGATTAGAGGAGAGCAGATGCTGCACTTCCAATTGTATTCCTCAACTGAAGATGATGTTGGTGTTAATGCAAGGCCCTTCATGCTCCTTAGCAAAGGCCCTTAAATTCTGGCAATAGACAGGCCATCACTGTCAAGTGGAGGTGGAAGTTGCTGAAACTACTGTTTCTGCTAAACACAGGAACAAGAACTCTAACTAGAGAAATGACAATGAGGACATTTTTTCCCAATATTCTCAACAGAAGTTTGGAGAATATTTGTTCATATTATTTGTAACTCCCTGTTGCATTGTAATTTTAAACTTGCCGCAGAAGTTGAGTTTCAATCGTTTTGGATAAACGTAGGGAAGGATAAGAAAATCTGTAAGGTTTCAATTCCATTCATATTGCTCTCATTTTCTGTTACCATATCTGGACGGGAAGTAAAGTGAAACCTCAGGAAGTCCACAGAAGGACAGTGAATTCAAAATATAACTTGATTAAAGTTTAAAGCAATTCTTACCCAAAACAAAAAAAAGGGTTTATACTCACGGTAAAAGCTTTTCTTGAATCCATTGAGGGGCACAGTAATTGTAAAAATCCATAAACTATTCTGTAGACAGTTATATTACTGTCTACAGGAGGTTGGCAAACAAAAAACATAAGGCCATCCCCTATATAACTCTGCCACCAACTGCCATGCCTCAGTTTTGTGAGAAAGTAGTAAAAGACCCAATAACAAAAAGGGGTGGTACCCCAATGGACTTCAAGAAAAAGATTTTATGGCAAGTACAAAAATCTTTCTTCATTGTCCATTGAGGGGACACAGGAATTGTAGAATTATTAAACAGTTGGCAAGTTCAAAAGCAGTCCAGCAGGGTGGGCAAAAGCCACTAAGAGATCCAACAGATGTGGAGATTACAAGAGTATCCAAAGAAATCAATGCTTAAATGAAGGCAAAAAAAAAAGGTGCTACCAATTTGGAGGTCAGCATGATGACTATCTACGGTGATAGTCATAAGGGCTTCATGTACACTTAGAGATGGAGGTCCAGGAGGGTCACGACTAGACTCTGCCATGAAATGCATTGGCACACATTTATATCCACCCCAAGGAGATTGCTCCAATACATGTGCACAAACCAACAAAAAATATGAAGTTGGTATAAGGGTTCTTGCTCTCCCAGGGCAGAGCTATAGAAGACTCCAATGAGGACAACCTTATAGTAATAGAAGTCCCAGGATCTAGGTTACAGGAATTCTGCAAATGCCAAGAGATTACTCCTAGAAGTAGCCAGTAGTGGAGTATGGGCCTAGGTCAACTGCTGCAGTGGGACTGTCCACTGTTCGTCTAAAGAAAGACATGTTGCACCGCATAGCAAAAAACAAGTTGGCCCAAACATACTCAGGGACTGTCATCAGCACCTGCTGCTTGGGTTTGTGTCGGCCAAAGGTGACCAAGTCACTGAAGTCTGGCAGTGGAACTAGACTGGATGTTCCATGTGGTGCTTCAGGAGCAGCAGCGGGATAGTGCTCTAGGCTAAATGGCAGGAAAGAACATGCAGAGTGTGCATAACACTCCACCTAGTAGATGACTTCAGTGCTCAGTTCCTTTAGCCTTAACCATTACAGTGTTATGATGGTGGTGGTAGAAATTTTTAAATGACGGCCAAAAGTAACTGAGATAGCTCCCAATGTGTTGACCTGACCAGCCTCAGTCAGTACATTTGTCCTCAGAGAATGTCACAACAGAGGCTGTGCCATGGCCATACTTAGTTGGCCATACAGTGCACTCCAATAAAGTACACAAGGGTCTTGGAAGTACCATAATGCAAAGGTTAGCACCTAAAGGTCAGATTCCTGGCTATCCCTGAATCTTCAGTCCAGAAGGGTACGCCTATCCAGATAGCTGCTGTAACTCAAGCACTGCAATTGAAGTCACTAAAGAAAAAGATCTATGGTGTAATTAATATCTTGACAGAAGAAAATAAACAAATAGGCTAGCAACGCTGAGGAAAAGACGTGCAACCTGCTAGGACACTAACAAAAAAAACTGAGACAGGAGGATTGGAGGTGGGATTATATGGCAATTGGCTTAATTATTTTTTTTTCTTTCATGTGTGTTCACCCTCCTTTAGGCAGCAGCATAAAACCACCTGTTTAAGAAATTCTCTATCCCTTAATAGACGATAAAGTGTATGTAAATACAAAACAGTTTTCTTTAGCTGCATGCATGATCCAACCTCACTTAAGGATCATGACTGAGCAGCACTTTAACAAGAGTAAGCAGTGAAATTATCCATGTCCTTTTAAAAGTGGGGCGAAAGGAGAATGGTGCTTTCTCTGAAAAAAAAAAACACCCTCATTCGCAGCAACTTTTCTGAACTACTACAATAGGTTGTTCCCACAAAAATAGTTGGTTAATGCACAGTATGTGGGAGAAATGGTCCCAAAATCATTGGCAACTTTACATTACTCAACTTTTCTATAATTCATTGATGTTTTGCATGCACTTTGAATGCCTAGCATAAAGCAATCCTGTGCACACAAAGCAAAAGTATGTGGGGGCTGGGGGGCATGTATTAATTTGTTCTTGCCCAATTTGGCTAAATAGATTGATATGGTGTCTGTTTGTTAAATATAAGTGCATACCAGGAAACATTTTGTAATACATTTTATGTACAGAGTGAAAAAACATGATATAGACATACACCTCCATCTCTGCATATTCAGCACAACAGTAACAGTGTTGTATTAAGCAGTATAATAATAGGCTGCCCTGGGCTCATGACAAGAACTCTGTTGTCCCAAATGTTAAGAACAATTCTATTGTGATAAAAATACTCTGAAAGAATACAAAATCCTTTTCATGCATCTTTAGAGACTATGAATATCTAATCAAATCTTTCCATCTCATACAATGATGCTTTGGCGTACTGCTCTTGATTTCAAGCACTGAAAGAGATGTATCCATGTGGTAAATTGTCCCAGATATTTATAAATCTAAAATATCTCTCAAGTACTACCTTTTGACATTATTTAGTTCTTGTATGCCTGGAGCACTTTTTTTTTAGCCTAGAAACGGTTAGGGGTTTCTGCACCACTACATCAATTTTCAATAAATATACAGTTCTGAGGGTTATTAACCATTGCAAGTAACTGACCCACAACAATAAAGCTAAACTGCTCATGACAAAAAATCCTGGCAGCTAGAAGTTCAGTAAGGAGTGAAAACAATTAAACAAATTTCCATGCTGCACCAAAAATTAAAATGATGTTCCGTCCAAAACTAATAAATGCAAAATGACTGCAGTTATTCATTGAAACCAAAATACACGGCTCAGTATACTCTTTAAGAGCCCTTTCACAAGGGTATTCCAATCAGGTCTGTCAATTTTTCAGAGGTATCTAATCGGAAGCCTCATGTTAGTCTGTGGGCAGCTAAACAGGTGGACTTGACTTGGTGGACTTGATTGTTGCGGATCGGGGGTAATCTGATGTAAACTGACACATGTTCATTTACATTTGACTCCCCATAGACCAACACAGGTAACTTCAGTCGGTGGAGGAAAAAACTGGACAGAAACAGATGTCACAACGGTGACATCCATAACGAACTGCTCCAATCAGCAGGAGATCTGTGCATGGATCCCCTTCTGATTGAAACTGAAGGTACACGTGTTAAAGGGGCCCAACAACAGTGTGGTGAACAGCACTGTTTACCACACCATTATTAGGAAAGGATTGCTCAGTAGTGAGTGAAATATGTGTTACCTATAGCAAGCAATTAGATGTATGTTTTCAATGTGTAACCTGCAGTAGAAAAAAGGACAGCGCAAATATAATGGATTGCTGTGGATATTGCTGAAAGTACCTATCCATCAGCAACTCTAGGTGCTCAGTGCATGCATCACGTTGCCACATTTTTTAAAACGTAGTACTATGCAAATCTCATTCATCTCAAGTTTGTCTTTTTAGCTAATCCCTCTTTTTGTTTACTCTTTTAAATGTCACCATATTAATGTAGAAATATCTCCACTGCAGAACTACATGCTGTAGAGCTGGTTTGGGTCACATAGAATAAACCTGTTTAGGGGAGGAGTAAAATGCTTGATAGCCAGTCTCCTCCACTGCTACCTACCTTTCTTGCACTCCATACCACCCCAGTTACCATTGGAGCTCTAAGAAAAAGCAGTGTGCATGTTCTAGGTCAGTTTGGA